GAATTGGACCCCCGGTCCAATCTTTTTTAAACTTGGGGGGGGGGGCTTTGAAGAGAGGCACCAGCAGCTATGCTGCAAATATGGTGCTGCTACCTCAAAAAACAGCCGCCCCAGAGCCCCAGGTACCCCGGATCAATTCTCCATTATAGCCTATGAGGCCCATCAACTGTAATGTTCCACATAGACTATAATGGGGCAGGAAAAATAGGTTTTTTGCACACCCCTATTATACTTTTCAGTATGACTTGTATAAATACTTGAATAAATAAGTAGTTTCGGCAGGTTGATAACATATAAGCAACTTCCTGTTTGTTAGGTTAGGCAGGGTTCTGACAATGATTCTTCCACCTCTGTTATATTTGACCTGTTAGACTGTCATATTTCACTAAATAAAAACCCCAAAGTAGACTGCAAGAGTCCTCCCCACCCCACCCAGTGCTGGTATGTTTTCTAAGGCTCAGTGCAGGGCAATGGTCCAAGGCCAGGTCTATCACTATAGTAGACTGGGGTGAGTAGACCTGTTCTGTGGAGGCCTGGTCTACCCCCATAGAGGACAATATTTTCTGTAATGAAATTTGGCTTGATTTTGTTTTCTCTTATAATGTTAAAATTATTGTTAAAATATAATATAAATATAGTGTAAAGGAATTCATTCTGAGATTTTTACAAGGTTATGGAAACAATCTTCTAAGAAACTAATTTATGCAATAGTCGAATGTAGACTCACTCGCAACTTTAATGCTACTAGCTTTTTTTGTTCACAAGGTAGAATTTTTGCTCTCAACACTGTGGAGCTTAGAAGAAACATCGCTGGTGTTGACGTTCAAACCCCTATATGGTTCAGGACCAACATATCTGGAGGACTACCTACTCCATTATGAACCTGACGACTACAGTTATCTTCAAAGGCCCTGCTTCAGGTGCCCGTGCCTTTTGAGATTAGGAAGGTGGCAACCTAGCAGAGGTCCTTCTCAGTTGTGGCACCAAAGCTCTGGAACTCTCTACTCAAGGAGTTTCATCTGTCGTTTCTTGTTGCTGTCTTCTGCCAGCAGGTGAAGACTTTTTGTGTTGTTTGGCATTCCTTCTTCCTAACCAATATTTTAATTAGTGTTTTTTATGTTTTATATGTATTTTTACTCTGTTTTTAATTGTTTTAATTAGGTGTGTTTGGGGGTTATTTAACAGTTTTAAAAATGAGGTTTTATTATGTATATTTTAAATTGTTCGCCAGCTTGGGGGTCCTTGTGAGGGCAGAAACACAGCATACAAATTTTGTAAATAAATAAATATTCAGGTCTCAGTGCTCTTTTCAAACTTACCAAGGAGCATCAATGCTTTGTTAAAAAAATCCCTTTGTTAGTTGTGTGGGCCTCAAACCAGCATCTTCTTTAGCATAAGAGAGGTGGCAGTTTGGCTTCTTCAGAGTGACTCTGACTTCCTCTGATTAAACCTGGACCATATTGTAAAGTAGGCTGTAATGATTTCTTGTTTTGGTGTGTGTGTTTCTTTAAATTTTTAGTGTGACTGCAGTAATATAAGGAGAGTGATAGAGGGAGATAAGTGTGATGTGATTGGCTGATGACTGAGAGAGTGGGAGGAGTGGTGTCTATGAGGTGATTCTGTGTGTTAAGTTTAGAGTGTGAATAAGACAAACAGTTTGTCTGTGTGACTATAAGAGTTTGAGTCTATTCTGTGTGAATAAGACAAAGAGTTTAGCCTGTGTGGCTCTGTCTCTCTCTCTCTCTCTATATATATATATATATGAGAGAGATTAGACTGAATATCAAAGCCTGTCAGAGTGGAGTATTGGAGTCTGAGACACTGTTTGTGACACCAAGTTTTTGCCAGTTATATTTGCAAGTTGCTTTCTTCAGCAACAGTTCAGAATAACCAGAAACCTATTTTGTTCTTTATTAAATAAATCCTTTTTTGTTTAAACTTATCCCAGCAATCTAAACCACTCTAATGGCAGAAAGTGAAGAGGGGCTAAAGAGCCTCTTGCTCAGGGTAAAAGAGGAGAGAGCAAAAGTGGGCTTGAAGCTCAACATTAAAAAAACTAAGATCATGGCATCACTCCTTGGCAAATAGAAGGGGAAGTCGTGGAAGTAGTGACAGACTTTTGCCATCACTCTTTGGCAAATAGAAGGGGAAGTCGTGGAAGTAGTGAAAGACTTCACGTTCCTGGGATCCCAGATCACCGCAGACTGTGACAGCAGCCATGAAATTAAAAGATGCCTGCTCCTTGGGAGGAAAGCGATGGTGAACCTAAACAGCATGATAAAAAGTAGAGACATCACCCTGCCAACAAAAGTTTGCATGGTCAAAGCAATGGTATTCCCAGTAGTCATGTATGGCTGCGAGAGTTGGACTATAAGGAAGGCCAAGCGCCGAAGAATAGATTCTTTTGAACTATGGTGCTGGAGAAGACTCTTGAGAGTCCCTTGGACTGCAAGAAGATCAAATCAGTCAATCCTAAAAGAAATCAACCCTGACTGTTCCCTGGAAGGCCAGATAATGAAACTGAAGCTCAAATACTTTGGCCACCAAATGAGAAGGGAGCACTCACTGGAGAAGACCCTGATGCTGGGAAAGATTGAAGGTCAAAGAAGACGGGGACAGCAAAGGATGAGATGGTTAGACAGTGTCATAGATGCAACGAACATGAAATTGAGCCAACTTCAGAGGATGGCGGAAGACAGGAAGGCCTGGCGTGATCTGGTCCATGGGGTCGCAAAGAGTCGGACTCAACTGTGCGACTGAACAACAACAGTCCCAGCAATCAGGGACATAGTGTCCAGACCCTGGGTCATTCTACCAAAAGAGAGAGACTTGCAATTTTTAATCCTGGTGGCAGCAGAAATCTACCAAGTTTATGTACACAGAGAGTGTTTTAAAGGTAAAACCGTCTCCCCAATAAGCGAGGACGCCACATAGGCATTACTCACACAGACATCAAGTATGCATGTGTCCTTTGATCACTGGACCACACCATAATTTTTTTTTAACCTAATACTGAAAAAAGGCCCCTTTTCTGGCTATCATCTGCCTAATTTTAGAAAGTAGGGCTATGCAGAGAAGGACCTCAAAGGATGACCTTAATTTATGGGTAAATTCATATGGAAAATAAAAATAAATAAAATATGCAGGGAAAGTCTGGGGAACAGACTCAATCCAGTATGACCAAAGCGCAACAGCTATTGTGTGGTATGTCTTGATCCAATCAAGGTACTCAGCTGTATTCTAGTTAAAGACTGCCTTTATTCCATTTATATACAGGATTCCGTCGCAGCCAGTTTTTGTTGGAAAAAGGTAAAAGTCGGATCTACATGGATCCTCATGAATTCATATGATTTTTACATTGAAACGAAATAAAACTACCATCATATTGTAGGCCATGTGTTAATCTATAGGGGGCAGAACAAAAATCACGCATCCACAGATTCGTGGCACCACAACAGCGCAAACACATGATTCCAAAGGACGGATCCTCATAAATTCATATGATTTTTATGCTGAAACAAAATAAAACCACCATCATACTGCAGAACAATGTCTTAGACTATAGGCAGCACTCCAAAAATCATGTCCCCACGAATTCGTGGCACCACAAAACTGCAAAAACATGGTTCCAAAGTACGGATCCTCATGGATCCTCAGGGTTTTTCAATTGGGTCACTCCAAACACACGATCAAATCACATAACACGTCCACGTCCACAGCTTGCACCACAAAAATCACAGATCCACGGCTTCGTGGTGACACCATTCTGCAAAAACATTATTCTGAAGCACGGATCCTCATGGATGCTTGGGTTATCTCTGTTGGGACACCACAAACATACCATGAAATCCCATATCATGTCCATGGCCACAGCCTGCACCACAGACATCACGGTGCCACGGCTCTGTGGCAACACCATGCTGCAAAAACATGGTTCAGAAGCACGGATCCTCATAGATCCTTATAATTTTTGCATTGAGTCACCCTAACATCACCATCAAATAATATGCCTTGTCCATGGCCACAGAATGCAGCACAGAAATCACAAGTCCACGGCTTCGTGGCAACACCATGCTGCCAAAACATGGTTCTGGAGCATGGATCCTCATGGATGCTTGTGGTTTTTGTGTTGGGACACCCCAAACATACCATTAAATCCCATACCATGTCCATGGCCACTACTTAGACCACAGTATTCATGGCCATCACACGCGAGAGGTCATTCTGGCTCCCCCAGGTCTTGTTAGGGGCTCTTTAAAAAGTTATGGCTGCCCGTGATGGCAGCAGTGCTAATGGCAAGGGGGGCGAAATGTCCCCCCCCCTCTGAGCCCGGGGTGGTGGCCTTGGAGTCCTAGGGACAAATTCCACCTCTCTGTATAACTGAGCTACCTTCCCAAAGCTTAACTACCGATTGCCAACTTGCACACACAGGTTACTCCTGCATGAATTCTCAGTTGCCTCCTGTGTTCCTTGACTTCTGACACAGAAATCAGGCCCACCCCATTTCCTTCTTCAAACCTCCCTTAAAGTCATCTGCTTTAATATTGTTTTAAATGTTTTATTGTATTATTTAAACGTTTTCTGCTGATTTTATGTAAGCCGCTCTGAGCCGGCCCTGGCTGGGAGGGCGGGGTACAAATTTGAATGAATAAATAGCTGGGGTGTAGTCTGCAGGGGCATGCGTGGAAAAGAAAAACTGCAGCAACCAGGCTTGACGAGCACCGCTCCGTTGCTCTGCTGCACCGCCCCAATTAGTCTGCAGCCTCTTCAGATGCCAGGTCCCCGTTACCACCAAGGAGCTGAGCACTGCCTGCAGGGTTCTCCTCCTAACCCTGCGACGAAAATTACACTGACAGACTGATTAGATGACGGAGCAGCCTCATCCTGTTCCGTCGCTCGCCACTGCGCCTGCGCCCTTTTCGGACTGGGGTGGCCCTGGAGGCGGAGGGGAGAGGGGTGGCCTTAATGCCCAATCCACCCCGGTAATTCGCACAGAATCCATTGCTCGTCCATCGTTTCTTAAGCCTTTTAATGAAGTGTGGGGAGGCAGTGGGGCTAGAGACAGGCGGGGCTTTAGTTTTCAAGCGCATTCAATCCCGTAAGTCAGACAGGCCCTAGCCCGCTTGCGCAGGTGGGCGGGACAGGAAAGGGAGTATCATGATCCCCACGCCGTGGTATGAGCATGCTGGAGCGCAAGGCCCATTTGCCGAAGTCTACGAGCCCGCCGAGGACACCTTCCTGCTCCTGGACGCTCTGGAGCAAGACGCCGAGAAACTGAGACGCGCGAAGTGAGGGACGGGAAGCATCTCTTGGAAGAGGGAGGGGGAGTGAGCGACAGCCAATCGGAACTGAGAATGCCTGCTGAGGGGCATTTAATAGAGAGGGCGCATCCAGGCTCTTGGTTTCTATGGTGATGAGGGGACAGTCTCTGTAACATAAACATTGATAAGTACCTTTAACAACGTTTATTCTGACCTGCTTGGTTCTTACAGGTTGGTGCAAAAGGTTGCCAGCTCTGCCAGGCTCTTGGTTTCTATGGTGATGAGGAGACAGTCTCTGTAATCTATGTAATATAAACATTGATAAGTACTTTTAACAACGTTTATTCTGACCTGCTTGCTTCTTACAGGTTGGTGCATAAGGTTGTAATTCTGGGTGGGTCTCCAGGCCCAATGTGGAGGTTGGCAACCCTGTACAGTAGCCGGAGTGTATGCAGCTCTCTGTGGTTGCACTCCTATGAACATTTTTTAAAAATTCAGGTAAAGCCATTTAAATGCAGGTAAAGTCAAAGTGTGTTGGAATCGTGTGTGTAAGAACTGTTAAAAGTCTGCATCTTCCAGGGTTTAACACAGAGAAGCTTAGCAGCACAACAGCTAAACAGGCCCAAGACATTTTGATCCCAGATAATGCTTGGGTGGGTTACAGCAAACTTAAAAATTTAACAAGTATGGGTCTAGCTAGTGTCTAGATAGGACACCTCCTGGGAACCTCTGCGTCATCAAGTTTGAACTCTTATCATAGATTCAGCATACAAATGTATTCAATAATAGTAAGTGGAACTTGGTCCATAAAGTTTTAATAGCAGCCTCTTCCAGTAATGAACAAGCCACAAGAAGTCCACTAGGCACAATAGTTTTGCTTTTCAGTGGTTTTAGCTGGACTTAGCAGAACTTGCTGATAACTTGTCCTGTGAGCCAGATTTGACTGGCTCCCCAAAATACAGATTGCACAAAGGAGGCAGCTGCTTCAGTTGGTCTCATTGTAGGGTTTTCTCTGCATGAATGAAATTGCAGCTCTTAATAGTCCCCGTTGAATCAGATGTTGGAAGAGTTTATTAGTGGAAGCAGTTATCTCAGGCAACAGGTGGAGGCCTTTCCAGTACCTCCTATGGTGGAAGGGATGCTGTGTTTCAAAGGGTGCCATCCACTTTGTTGCCATTTCCTCTGCTGCATTCACTTACAGCTACCATTCCCTCCCCTATGTCATGGGGCTTTCGTTACAGCTACCATTCCCTCCCCTATGTCATCATGGGGCTTTCAAAAATATCTAGATCGCTATAGCATTATAACATTATGAGGATCAATCTGTGAAGTCTTTGGAATTCCCAACTTTGTTTTCTAAAATGCATTTCTAGCCCTTTCCATTGCCAAGATCCACCTTTTCCCTTCTATCTCCAAAACAAAAAGGGGGTAGAGACTTTTTAAAATGCAAGCTGGGAATTCAGAGAACATAATGGTACATTTTTATAACATTGCAACATCATTGTGATCTAGATATTCTGATATTGCCATTTTTTTAAAAAAAGGCCCCTGGTGTTGGGTGGGAATAGCAGCTGTGAAACAATGGGTCAGGAAAACTCACTTATCAGGACAAACCATTGATGCTGCACTGAATTGGCAAGTGCAATGGCAACAGGAAAACTACAGGGATTGTTGCTGTTTTGAAGACCCCCAACTTTCTGCGCACATAAACTATTCTGGTTGTATTTTGAGTGAGGTATAGCACCCTGGCAAACTAGATGTAATGTTTAGGGGAAATCGACAACTACATGAATTGAAGGTTCTTAGTAGTTATAGAGTATTCTACCAAATTAAAGCTTATGCTGAACATCTGTTTCTTTACCTTTTTCATGAATAAGGAACTACAGATTTTAAAAGTTCAGGATTTTTACAATATTGTATAGAATAATTAATCAGAAATATTATAATTCATATAGCCATTCTTACGTATTCTCTCTATATAGCAGTATGACATTCATTTTTCTCCAATATTTTATGTCAAAAACATTTAGCATTGAAATCTGCCTTGAAGTAGGATCTGGATCTGGAGTAGTTTCAACTTTTGTGGCATCACTGATTGAATCCAAAGCTTTATACATGTAAGTATTATGCCATTTCATATTACTTAGGGCTAGGTGAAGAGTAGGATGTATTTGTCTGCTTTAAGTCATATAAAATTACCTGTTTATTTGTAGTAGTGAAATAAACAGCTGTCCACTTTTCTTTCTTTGCTTCATATTCACTCTTATTTAGTTGTGTAGCAGCCTCTGGAGCAAGGGCACAATTATGGCTAGCCAGCGCAGACAGCATGCAAAATCATGTTACAAGCCATGCTTTGCCAGCTCTAGTGTATAATTTTACTTTATCACTTTAGATAACCTGCTTCCTTAATTATGGTTTGACATGATCAATTGAACCGTTATATTGATTGGAAGCATACTCTTCTTTCATAAGGTTTGGTTAGTGGTGGTAAATGTGGTCACAACTGTGCTTTCTTTGCTTTAGTGGCAGATAGAACTCCCCTTAAAGCTATTTACCAGCTGTTTAGTTACAGTAACTAATGTATTGACTGTATTGGTACAACATAGCTTTGAGCAACATTCCTCATGTCTTTACTAGAAATACGCAGTATGCTATCATAGTTATGTTTCAGTTCTGGGTGTGGTGTTTGTAAACAGTATTCTAATACTTAAACTGGGTAAATAATAACATATTTGATTAGATTTTTATCACACCGCTCTTCCAACAATTTAGGCCAGCCTGCGTGCGTTCTGCCCTTCTGCCATTTTTCACATTAAAAGGTAAGGCACAGGTTGCAATTCTAAGCACACTTACCAGAGAGTAAGTCCCACTGAACTTAATGGGATTTACTTCTCCATATACTTAGTTATTAAAACATTTATATCCCGCCTTTCTTCTTGGTGGCTTACAGTGTGCTTAGAATTGCACTGTAAGTTTCCCAGTGCCCAAGATCCCCCAGTGAGCTTCATGGCACAGTAGGAATTTGAACCCATTATGTCTCTTTCTCAGTTTTATCCCCACTGTAACCCTGCGAGGTAGGTCAGGCTTATCTAGTGAGTTCTATGGATGAACAGGAATTTGAAGCAGTGGCCCCGCAGTTGTTGTGTGACTTTACAACCACTGCACCACACTGGCTGCATTGCCTAGGATTTTAGTAGGCAATGCAGCTTATAAGTACTTCGTATGTATCATATTGCCCATAAGGTCTGCTAAATGGCTAAATTTCTCTAGATGCATAAATGATAGAACATGTTAATTAAAATGTTACTCATTTTGTGCTTACAGATGTACTGATATCAACCCTGTGGCAGGTCTGTGCACAGTGGAGACAGCTATACGTAATAAGGTTGACATTCAACCCATAATTACTGATTTGGTGAGATTCAGATTATAACTGATCCATCTGATATGTCAGCCATTTTAGTGGGTTATTAAAGTTGTCTTATGATCACTGCAATTAAAAAGTTGCTGTTTCTGATAAATTTTAGCAAGCTCTTCAAGTTAGCTCAGATACTCTGCTTTTTCTAGTTAGTGATTTATTGTTGTCATAAACTCTTTCCTGACTTTCTTGTATATCCTGGGCCAGATTTAGTGGTGTTGGTAGCCTCTGGCTTTGGCAAGCAGTGGGGGCTGTCAGAAACAACAACTGTCACTTTGAGAAAGTCCCAGCAGGAGACCAAAAGAGCAGCAAAAAGGTTGTGCTAAACTTGGACAAAAGTTTATGCCACAAGTAGTGTATAGTGTTGGTGTGACAGGAATGGGAAAGAGGCTGCTCTCTTGGCCCATGTTAGTTTTCTTTCCCATTGAAGAGACAGCCATTTGAATTGGGGCTTAGTATATTTTAATGGCAACTACTATACATCCTGTGTTAATGTCTAAGGGCTTATGAATTGTATTAACATTTTGTTTCACCTTGGGTAGAGTCCTACCACTCCGCTGGGCTTGGAACGACCATTGGTACTTACCCGTGAAGGGTCCTTCTCCTCTGAGGCTTGGAGGACATCTTGTGGGTGATTCCCATCCTTCTCTAGGGAGGCAGGACTAAGTTGAAACTTCTTCCTGTTTCCTTTGGAGGGAGTCACCCTAGCTCAGTTCGGTGCTCCGCAAGCAGTAAGCTACATAAAAACTACACTTAGCAGAAATACAGTTAACAAGAACAGGAAGAATACCATAGAATTATGTAACTTGAACAGGAAAACAACCGAATCCATAAGAATAACATCTGTGTTCGGCTCTCTCTCTTTCCCGC